CTGGATGGAATGAAACCTCATGCTGTTTGCATCAAGGACGGTCTCTCGTGAGTGATTGGTGCTGGCGTCCGATCTCATTGGGGTCCGGCTCTGCGGATCCAACAGATTCTAAGTGACTGCAGAAATTCTTTATAGAACAATAATTCTAACAGTGACTCTAACAATGGGCCCCAGTGTATCTGAGCTGTTGAGGATGGGGTAGGGATTGGGCACGTTTCAGGTCCGTTTTCAGGGTCGACCCGATAGCACCCAACAACAACAACATCACGTGGTCTTTTAATTAAGCCCACTTGGATACTTAACTGCACTGAGGAAGCGTGTGCTATGTCCCGGGCCTCCTCTCCAGGAGGAGGGAACAGAGCACCTAGCTCCGCCTACACCCGGCAGCATACCCAAACCCCGCCCCTGGGTCCTACCTAACTCGAGGACCCCTGAGGGGCTGTCCACACCCGCGCCTGACTCGTCCTTCCGTGTTAGCGGCCCTGACCTCTCTGTCCTGCCTGCCACCTGGGCCTGTGTTGCAGCTTGGCCCACTGATTCCGGGATCTGAGCGGTGGGGGGAGGACGGCTGTGTGACAGTAGCGGTAGGCAAGTGGGAGGGCTACCCTTCACGGAGTCTGGACGCTCGTTCTCCACTGTAATGGCTGCAGGACTGCGAGCCATCGGCTGCTTTACCCTCCTGTGTGGCGCGCCTGTTGGTGAGAACCTCGTGCTGGGTGCAGGGGCGCTCACCGGGGCGGGAGGGGACCGGGGAGCTGGCGGGGTTGCAGGCGGTCGGGAGCGGGGCATCCACACCCCGGGCTGTAGGAAGCAAGAAGCCGTGGCTTCGCAGCCCCTCCATGCTCCTGTGGTTCCCTGTGTGAGCTTGGGCACCTCGGGGTCTAGTATACTTGTCTGCCAAGTGAGTGTAACCGACAGTGTGCAAGGCTTCTTTGTTCGTGAAACTCCTCGTGGGTGTGATTCTTCGGAGAACAACCAGGAAGTTGTATGCATGCATTACTCTCCCGGTTCAGGCTTGCTTGCCCATGGAAAGCTGGAAAGTGAAACAGTCCTCAAGCTTGGGTCCTTCGGGTCAGTCAGTCATTTTAGATGCCTAGATGATGAGAGCTTTTACTAAAAGCGTGAAGGACTTAACTATCAGTTATTGTTGTTAGGTGCAGTCGAGTCAAGTACCACTCTTTTTAAAAAAATTTTATTATTATTATTATTATTATTATTTTGTGTATGTGTGTCTGTGTACCGTCAGATCAGATCTGACTGGTACAAGGAGGAGATTGTCCCTCCTTTCCCGTCAGAGCATCTGGTGGATTCAAACCATGCGTCTCTGAGATTGCAGTGCAGCTTCTTGCCACCAGAGCTCCCCGAGTCAAGTACCACCCTTTTTTTTTTTTAAGTACCACTCTTAACAGACCTGAACCCTTCCCTACCCTATACCATCCTCATCATCTTTGACGCATTCGAGTCCATTGCCGCAATCATTATGTCAGTCTAACTCATTGAGAATCTTCCTCTCCTTCTTTGACCCTTTCACCTTTCTAAGCATGATGTCCCTCTCCAAGGAAAAACCTCTCCTACCAGCATGGCCAGTGTATGTTCATCTCTGCCTTTAGGGAGCACTCTGGCTGCACGCTCTCCAAGACATAGTTGTTGTTCTCTTGGCTGTCCATGGGGTGTTCAGTGCTCGTCAACACCACAGCTAACAGGCATCCATTCTTCTTTTATCATCCTGATGTATAGCAAGTGACTGAAAAGACCATGGCCTGAATCAGGCACACCTTAGGCTTCAAACTGACATCATTGCTCTTCGGTATTTTGGAGAGATCCTTGACAGACTTGCCCAAAAGAATTTGTCTCCCGAATTCCTGACTGCGGATAGAAGGAGAATTGATGCCTTTGAGCTGTGGTGCTGGAGAAGAGTATTGAGGGTACCATGGGCTGCTAGAAAAACAAACAGATTCATCCTGGAAAGGGTCAAACCGGGCGGCTCCTTGGAGGCAAGGATTCTGAGGCTCCGTCTGACGTACTTTGGACATGTTGTAAGGAGGTCCTTGGAGAGGGACATCATGCTTGGTAGGGTGGAGGGACAGCGCAGGAGGGGAAAGCCCTTTATGAGGTGGATTGATTCAGTGACTAGGGCAATTGGGATGGGTGTATTGGAGATGGTGCGATTGGCACAGGACAGAGCGGAGTTTAGGACTGTTGTACATAGGGTCGCTATGAGTCGCAGGTGACTCAACGGCCCATAACAACAACAGCAGTACCAAGGGTGGTGATTGTGCATCCAAGTAAGATGAAATAATTGACAGTTACAGTCTTTTCTGTTCTTCTCATGTTCCCTCTGTTGGTATTTGTAGCAGGAATGACATTCTCTAACTTCTAGCACGATGTTTACTTGTGAGACTCACATCATGATTGTTTTTTTTTTCTTCATCCTGTTTAAACCTACAATCTGTCCTAAGAAAACCAAAGAACTGTAATCAGGAAAGTGGTATTTTTTGTTGTTGTTGTTGTTTGGTAACTCATTTTGCTTCATAATTTGAGGTGAAATAATTTTACTTAAACATTCTTTTCTCTTGTTTTTATTGTGACCACCTCCTTGTCTTTTAAGGCCTTATTAAAATAATCATACTTTTGGTTAGTGACCCAGTACATTATGCACTGTGTTGTTGCAGACCGAGGGCCCCAAAGAATAGAATAATTTTATAATTATTAATAAAGAGACAAACAGCCAGGAATGAGATAGAGCAGAGAGCATAAAACAGAGGGTCAGCAGTTCTCGACTGAAGACCTCAAGCCATGCTTCTCTGAGTATTTATTTAGAATCATAAGATAATAAAAGTAAATTCACAAGGAAGTACAAAACAAAGGATAATGGTGACATCTTTTACAGATAAGGCCAAGTTCCTCTTTATGTTAATCTCAAGAGGGAGGGGTTCATTTGACACAAACTAAGAACAATGTTAACTCCTAGGGAACGCCCCATTGCCACAAGGTGGCCTTCAGTTTTTATCAAGCTTCCCTCATTTCCGGAAACAGCATTTGGTCTACTATTATTAAATTTGATAATCGGCTTCCCTTACTGTGTCACCAGGACTTATTATTACTATAAACAAGGTGCTCTCTGAAGCTCTATGACTTTTCCTCACTTCATCTTCACAGTGTTGGAGATAGATCAAATTCCGGCCCTCCCACCCGCCCATTATAAGGACATTAAGACACACAGAGGTTGAGAAAATTGCTTAAGGTTAGACTGATGGTGTCAGGGCTTACAGCTTAGTCTTTTTTCCTTTTTTAATAATTTCTGGCTGCCTGGCTAACTGACTTCAGGAGATCCATTTTTTCCCCCCATTCCAAAGAAGTGATCCAACAAAATATGGAAATTATCTAATGACATCATTAACATTACTTAGAAGTACAATTGACAGAGAATTGCCAGAAATTCAAGCTGGATTCAGAAGAGGCTGTGGAAGAGGAATAACACTGCTGAGTCACATGGATCTGGATTGAAAGCAGAGACTATTAGAAAGATGTGTGTTTGTGTTTTATGACTATGCAGAGACATTTGACTATGTGGATCATAACAAATTAGGGATAACATTGAGAAGATTGAGAATCCCAAAACAGTTCATTATGCTCAAGTAAAATCTCTATGTAGATCAAGAAGCTGTTGTCCCAACAGAATAAGGAAACACTGCATGGTTTAAAATTGGGAAAGGTATGTGTCAGGTATGCATCTTTTCTCCATACCCATTCAGTCTGTGTGCTATGTAAATCGTTCAAGAATCTGGACTATATGAAGAAGAATGTGGCATCAGAATTGGAGGAAGACTTAATCAAGAGCCTGCATTATACAGATGACACACCTTTGTTTCCTGAAAGCGAAGAGGACTCGAAACACTTGCTGAAGATCAGAGACCACAGCCTTCAATGTGAATTATATTTCAATATCAAGAAAACAAAAAATACCCACCACTGGGGCAATAGGTAGTTATCAGGATAGATGGAGAAAAGGTTGGAGTTGTGAATGATTTCATTTTACTTGAATCCACAATCAACACAGATGGTATTGTATAGCTGCTGTCAGGGACCTCTTCAAAGTACTTAAGAGTGGGGATTAAAGATTACGGTGTGCCTGATCCAAGCCGTGGTCTTCTTAGTTATTTCCTACACGTCTGAAAGTTGGACAGTGAATAAGGATGACAGAGAAGAGTCTATGCTTTTGAGTTGTGGCTTTGGAGAAGGGTACTGGATATTCCATGGGGTCACAAGGAACAAACCAGTCTATTTTGGAGGAAGTATAACCAGGATGCTCCTTACAGGCAAGGATGGTAAAATTTTGTCACACATACTTTGGACATGTTGTAAGGAGAGACCGGTCCTTGGACATCATGCTTGGGAGGGTGGAGGGACAGCGCAAGAGGGGAAGACCCTCTATGAGGTGGACTGATTCAGTGACTGGGGTAATCGGGATGGATGTGTCAGAGGCAGTGCGATTGGCACAGGACAGAGCAGAGTTTAGGGCTGTTGTACATAGGTTCGCTATGAGTCGCAAGCGACTCGACGGCACATAACAACAACAAAAAAATAGCTTTGTACATACTAGGAAAAGGACATCATTCTTGGAAAGGTGGAGGATCAGACAGAGAGGAAGACCCTCAACAAGGTTGTTAGTGACTATAACAATGGGCTTAAGCATATCAGAGATAGGAGGATGGTGCAGATGGGCAAGGTTCAGAGCTGTTCAGAGGGTTGCTGTGAGTGGTCTTTTATTCAGTGGCACTTAATGAGAACAGCAACAATACTTTTTTGGTAACGGTTCCATTGCCGTGTAATTCACATACTGCATTTTCCTATCCATTTGAAATTTATAAACTCTGTGAGTTTTTTGTATATGTGGAATTGTGCAGTCATGACCACAAAATTTTTCAGAGCATTTGTATTACCCCAAAAAGAAACCTCTTGCACTTTGTTGCTTTAAATCCTCAACAACCAGAGATTGACTTAGGGACTCATCTATTGTGAGCTTTTCATGTAGATAGAATGATGTAGTATGTGGTCTCTTATATTTGGCTGCTTTTATTTTACATAGTGTTTTCAAAGCTTATTTTGTAGCATGTGTCAGTATTTCAAGGGCTCTCTGGTGGCCTCATGGTAAGAAGCTGTGCTGCAGTCCTAAAGACAAGCTGTTTGAATCCAGGAGCTGCTCCTTGAGAGGGAGATGGGCATTCTTCTCCTGTGTGACTTACTGTCTGTGAAAACCCTTTGGAGGGTCAGCTATGAGTCCATTCTGACTCGATGGTATTGAACAACATCATCAGTATTTCATTTGAAATACAAGATCATAAAGATTTGCCCCCATGTTGTAGTCTAAGAGTTATAGCCTTTGCTCTTACATTTAAGTCTAGTCTATATTGAGTTTTTGTGTAAGATGCGAGGTAAGGGTCCAGCTTTTTTCTTTTGGACGTGAACATCCAGCTGTCTCGAAACTGTTGTAGAGACTTTTTTCCCTTTTGTCTGGGCACCCTTGTCCAGAACCACCTGGCTGTAAATGTGGGATCAGCGATTCTTCGTCAGTAATGCACCATCCTAGCTCCTGAGGGGGAAGACAGCAGGATGCTGAGAGAGCGCTGCAGGAAGCAAACAGGCTTTTGCAGACTTGATCATGTTTCCGACAAAGGGGAACATGCTGCAGGCACAGAGTGCAGGAACAGGGTGTTCCACGTTGACTCCCCCATGTCTCAGGTAGAGAGAGGGAGGATGGAGGAAAAAGGTGGGGATAAAGCTGCCTGGGCCAGGCTGAGACTTGGCATTGTCTTTTGGGCCCTAGGGGCTACACAATGATGTGTCAGAGCCATGAAATGCCCAGACCTCTTAATTTCGCAACGTGCCTCAGGACAGGTACTGATAAGCGGCTTGCCATTGGAGCGTTTTTGCCATATGGCCAAGTGATGAGGCCAAAATGAAGAACAGGCCATGAGACCAGAGGCATGGGTATAACTGACAAGTGGATCAAGGTCTGAGAATTTATATGCCATTTGGATGTGGGGGTGAAAGGGAGATGATGTTAGCTACTTAGGCAAAACAATCCTGAAACCCAGAAAGAACTCATTCACTTGTCTTGGCTCTTTTGACCTTGACTTTCTTTGAGTAAGTCTGAATGAAATGTTGTTTTTTATGTACAGATGTATCTTTTAAAGTTACCAATATGTTTTTTTAAATTTGTAGGTCATTTGTGGGCCAGGCAGCTTTTCTTAAATGCCTGTCCAACAACTTCCTGTGTAACATTGAAGACTGCCCTCAGCAATGGTGAGATCTGTTTATCTAACTTTTTCTCTTGAGACCTAGTGTAAGCATAGTTTATGTGGTTTTTTAAATGTAAAGAAATGAAGCATGTTTTTTATCATGGAAAAATGTAAGGTCTAAAGACTTATTTTTTGAAAAACATTGATAGCACTTTTTAAAGTTTAAGATTTTAAAAAATAATAACACCATTTATTGAATGAGGTGTCCTCGTTTTATCTATTAAAGGAGGATAATTTCTACTTGAAGAGTGCTCTGTTAATTTCTTAAAATATTGTTCTATCAAAGAGTGCTAAAAGGTTTCTGTCTTAAAATGAAATTCTTTTCCTTTCTTTCCCTTCCTCCTGTGACATTTCCAATCCAGATCTCCCTGCTCAATAGATGGAATATAGTGCTGTTCTACCTGGGAACATTGTGCGGATTCCAGCTTTAACTCAAACTCTGGTCACTCCTTACTGCCAACATAGCTATGATCTAATATATGGACAGTGTTTGCATTATTAAGATTACGTATATATTCTTCAGAGCTCAGCTCTAAGCAGAAGTCTGGGATTACATTTTCTTTATTTCTTTTTCCTTTGTAATTAATAATTGTTTTGCCTTTAAAAACTGGCTTAGTTTTTTGGTCTATATAAATAATTTTTTGAATGCTACAACTTATTGATCAGAGATAGAGTAATCAGTTTAATTTTTCACTATTTGACTAGCCAACCAATTGTACTTACTAGAAGATATTTAAATTTAGGAAGAAGAAATGATTTATGGTAAAAATAGTTAAAGGGAGGCTGTGAAAGCTTTGGAGTGAACTCTGTGTTGTTTCCTTCCAGAAGTCAGAGCAAGGAATTTCCACGGTTGGCCCACTGTGAATTCCATGGTGATTAATAGTGAAAATTCAAAACCTCAAACTAAAATTGGTAATTGATTATTGGTCGTAGGTAATCTCCACTGGGTTTTAGAATGTAATTTAGCATGCCACATTGTCTTTAAAAGTCATAGCACAGTTTGGGCAAATCAGTTCTAACACAGTGTATTAAGAAAAGACTACAGTTAGTTCATTCTACTTTAGACAGTTGAGCTTTCAGAGCCAAATAAGAGTAGTATTTTAGTCTTTGGAGAAAGATGTAAGAATTAAAATTCCATAGTGGTAGTTTTCTGTGTTAAGGGAGCTCTGGTGACCTAGTGAGTAAGGAGTTGTGCTTCCATCCCAGTGGTAGGTGGTTCAAACCCACCCACCAGCTGCTCTGCAGGAGAAAGATGATGTGCCTCTTATGTGATTTACATCCTCTGAAAACATGCTTGAGAGTCAGCTTCAAATTGGTTCCAATTTGAAGGCATGTAGCAGCAATAACAGCAAAGTTTATTAAAGATTGTAGTACTAAATAGTGTCAGACTAAATGTATACATAGCAGATATTTCAGTGAAGATGATAAAGGTAAAATATATTCAGCATAAACAAATTAAGCCCGTATTTTCTATTTGTTTTTCATTGAGTGGAAAGCTCACATCCTAGTGAGTGAGAAAATTGAGAAGGACCATACTGTGCCATCTGACCAGTACTCTCCTTCAGTGCGGATTGAATATGTAATTGCCTTGGGATCAAAATAGGGGTTTAAATCCTGTCTCCTGAGATGGTGATTATGGCATGGTGTATCTTGTAAATCAGATGGGAACAAGGTAGAGCTGACTCTGCTCACAGAAGACCACTATCCGTGGAGTTGATGAAATGGAACCTCTAAGTCATAGCTGTGAAAAACAATTTATAAGTGTTGCATACATGTGATTAAAAACCAAACAAAACCCTCATAGTTCATCTCTTACCTCAAGCGCATCTGTGTTTTCTTCAGAGGCATCGACTTTTTGTATAGGTTTTGGGAGACATATTAGCCATGTTCTAGCCTCTTTTGTTTTTAAGCCTGCAGAGTTGGGTCCACCTGCTGTTCCACACCTTGCCCTCTTGGCAGGTCTCTGCACTCTGGTGCCCTGCAGACCAGTGCACCCAGCTGTGTGCTCAGTGATGGAGGGAATCTGGCAGGGCAGCAGCTCTCATCCTGACTGCATGTCACCATTTTCCTTTAGAGAGTTTTATCCATTTTGTGGATGAACTGCCACTTATCTAACAATGACAGTGGCCATCAAGGTCGGTTTAGTCAAACTTGTAATTTTTCAAGAAAGACCATCCACAAATCCTGATTTATTTTTTTCCTGGAAATTCTGTTTTATTAAGTATCCTGTGTCTCAGAAGATTTATGAAATTGTACAAGTCAGATTCTAGCAAATTGAGTAGAAGAGTTTTAAAAAAGATAATGTTCTCGGTCAATTTATGAATAAACAAAACAAAAAGAAATTTAAAAAAAGATAATGTTCTCATTATAAAAATTATCTATTGTAGATAATTGGAGAAGGGGGGAAATCCCAATTAGAAACAACTATATTTCTAATTTGACTATATATTGAAGATCTTTTGTACTATAAAGATAAAATTAAAATTCAAAATTAGGACTATATCAACATTGTAAAGTGGTCAACAGATGTGTATATGCTCTAAAGGACATGTACCACAGCATTGAAACATTGGGAACACAAAACAACTATGAGATACTATCTCATCCCAGTCAAAATAGCAAAATGTAACAGAACAGCAAGCAACAAATGCTGGTGAGTTGTGGAGAAACTGGAACCTTTATTCACTGTTGGTGGAAGTGTAGAATGGTGCAACCACTGTGGAAGGCGGTGTGGTGCTTTCTCAAAAAGTTGCAAATAGAGATACTATTTGACCCAGCAATTCCACTACTAGGAATATACCCCAAAGAGACCATAACTGACATCCAAGCAGATATATGCACACCCATGTTTATTGTGGCTTTGTTCACAATAGCAAGGAGTTGGAAACAACCTAAGTGCCCATCAACAAACGAATAGATAGAGAAGCTGTGGTATATTCACACAGTGGAATACTACGCTGCAAGGAACTCATGCAATATTATTCAAAATGGGTGACCCTGGAGGACATGATGCTGAGTGAAGTATCTCAGTCACAAAAGTACAAATACTGCGTGGTGCCACTGTTGTAAAATAGGACTGACATCGGGGTTGGGGGAAGACTGAGAAAGATGGGTTAAATAATGTGTACTGCATTGAAACAGATGAGGGAGAAACTGTTTAAAAGGGATATGTGATTAGGTATATTGTCATGATGGGAGTCCAGAACAAAGGCTGCGTAGTGGAGTGGACCTGCGGGGAGGGATTGTAAAACAGTGAAAGAATTTTTCTTTTACTTTTCCAAGAGGGGAGTGTACTGGGGGGGAGGGCTGGAACAGGAGAAAAGTGCAACAATGAATGAATGGAAATCCAAAGTCTCTGTAAATTTTCATTGGAATGAATAATAAAAATTAAAAAAAAAAACACCCAAAAAATGTTCGGAACAACCTAAACATCCAAATGAAAGCCTCTGATTTCATAAGTCATGGCAGAGCCACGCCAAAGAGCACCACAGTCGTGAAATATCCTGTTATAAAAGAATTCATGATGGTATATTAAGTTTTACAGAGTGTGTGTGTGTATGTGTGTGTGTGTGTGTTTATGGATCTCATTCAGCAACATATACACACAAATTATGACTCTTAAGCATTTGATTTTGGTGACTTGTAGTTAAGAATTTGGGGTGCTGACGATATTCCTTATAATAGCCATGGAGCATCTAACCCAAGATTTATCTCCCTTTATCTCCAGGCCTTTTGTCATCAACGGGAACCAGAGGCAACTGTCATTACTCCACTATATCTGCCGTGCTACAGAGACGATGCTGTGTTTATCCTCCCAGCAGTAACTGGGTGGGCCAACAGTCCAGACCCTACAGTTTCTTCACAAAATGTACGTAGGGTGGCTGCAGACTTTCAAACTAACAGAGATTGAGGAAAAGGAAAGATAGTATTCCATTTTAATCTTCCACCTTTTCAAAATGAATTAACACTTTAGTGGTTATATTAAAATAAAATTGTTCTTAAATGTGTACATGCTACCAGTATTACATTTTGTAAGCACTTGTTTATTTTAGGGAACTCGATTGGCCTAGTGGGTAAAGTGTTGCGCTGCCAACTTAAAGGCAGGCAGTTCAAATCCACTAGCTGCTCCATTAGAGAAAGGTGAGCAATCTCCTCCCATGTAATTTACAGCCTCTAAAAACTCGCTGGAGGGTCAGTTCTGGTCATTTCCCACTGAGCAATAATGTGGGGGGTTGAATTTCCTCTAAAGGGCCTCTGGAGGTGCAGCACTGAACTGCTAAGCGAGAGCTTGAAGAGACCTGCTAATCTGCTCTCATGAGTGTTGTTATACTGTCAGGTCGGAGCCCACTTGAAGCTGACCCTCCAGCGGCTTTAGGAGGCAGTGAATCACACAGGAAGAGATGGCCTTTCTCCCATGGAGCAGCTGGTGGATCCAAGCCGTACAGGCCTTGGGGTTGGCAGTGCAACACCTTGCCACTAAGCCACTGGAGCTGTTCCCCCATAAAGACTGCAGCCTGGACCACCCTGTGGGGTAGTGTACTCTGTCAGATGGAGTAGCTTTGAGTAAGAGAAGACTCGTTGGCAACTAACAACAGCACCAAATTCCTTTAATCTTGTGATTTAATGCATCTGAGAATGGTGATTTAAAGTTTTTCATCTCTTGCTGATTTAAAGTCACCGTAGAGAGCTCTGGTGGCCTAGTGGTGAGAAGCTGCACTGTAGTCTTCAAGACATGTGGTTCAAATCCATCAGAGGCTCTGTGGGAGGAGGGTGAGCAGTCTCCTCCCATTATGGCTTGGCTCTGACTTGATGGCACACAGCAAGAACTACAGAACTATTACTTGAAAAGATTTTATGCTTTAGATAGAGATAAGACTTCTAATCAGGAAAATGCAATTTTAGGAAGTCTCGTGGCCTAGTAGGTAAAGACCTGTGCTGTCAACCTAAAGGCAATCAATTCAAATCCACCAGCTGCTCTCTGGAAGGAAAAGGAGCTATCTAGGGTCAGCTGTGAATCGATTCTGACTTGACAGCACATAATGACCATTGCTTTTATTAAAGCTACTCCTGTTTGTGGTGGTTGTATTTGAAAGAGTCTGAGCTGAAATAAGTTTGAAACTAACTTGACAGCAATGGTTTATACAGATAGAAAGCATTTAAAAAAATGATATTCTAAACTAACTTTTCTTTTTCCATGTTATCTCCCTGGAGATTAAATACCTTTTAGGAAGCAATCAGGTAGAACTTTTACATCTACAAAGCTCTTTAGAGAAAAAAAAAGGAGATATTAATTTGTATTTTCTGTGCGTGTGGATTCATGTATTTTAGATTTTTTAATATATCTGAATGAATGGTGACTTTGTTTTAGTAAATAAATTGGCCTTAAAATGGATTTGTAAATGTAATCAACTACTGATACTCTGAAAATAAAGTCCAGTAAGTAATGTAGCTGCAACAATAAAATTCAGTGATGGTAAAGTGAAAATTTAATATTCCATAATTATAAATCCCTGTTGACCCATTGCTATTGAGTTGATTGCAGCTTGTAGTACTCCTGTTAGACAGCATGGAATTACCCCTTAGGGTTGCCAAGGCTGTAAATCTTTATGGACATAGATTGCCACATATTTCTCTTGTGGAGCAGCTGGTAGATTCAAACTGGTGGCCTTTTGGTGAGCAACTGAGATTTCTTAACCACTGTGTCACTAGGGCTCCTCCTACTTGTATAAGAAATTACTAAGCAACTCATTGCTTTTGAGTTGGAACTGATTTACACCTGAGCCCAGTGAGTTTTCATTGGCTGTAAATCGCATGAGAGGGGATTGTCCTTTCTCCTGCATGGTACTGGTGGATTTGAACCATCTTCTTTTGAGCTGACAGCTCAACTCCCTACTTAGGAGGCATGCAGAGTATAAACGAGAAAAAAGTGAACCCAAACACATGATAGAAAAATGTTTTGGGATTCTGGAAATTCACAAATGGGAGTAAATCAAAAGTGTCAGAAACATAAAGCAAAAGATAAGTATAATAAATGAAATGAATGCTGTATGCACATACATGCACGTGTGAACACCTATAACTATTAGAGCTTTATTGGTTTTCCCTATGTGTTGATTAGACCTTACTGTTAAAGATGAACTCTAACATCTCCTTTTGAAGAATCTATGAAGATACTATAATCATTAGGGCATTTGCAAAAGAATGAAATAATCCAAATGCTCAAGGTTTATGGGTGCAGACTGAAATGTTTATTCTTGTTTGGGCTCAGATATCTATGTTTAGGAGGGATACCTGCTGATTATCCCAAAGAAAGCAATATCATAAATGAAAAAATGTCAAGGAAACAAATCTGGTGTAAATAACTGAGACTTAAGTTGAGCATGTTTTGTGGGGAAGGCAGTATTCTGTAAAGGTCACAGAACTGTCTGCGTGGCAGCTTTCCAATGATAACCATGTGATGTTGGAAAGAGATGGTTTAGTTTTGCTTGACTCCATGATGGGATGAAAATGGTCTCTTCTGATTTTTGTGTCCAGAAAGAATAGATCATTGTTTGAAAAGTATTAAAAATTCCCCTTTCAGAGAGCTCTGGTGGCCTAGTAGCAAGAAGCTTCACTGAAATCCCAGAGGTACACGGTTCGAATCCACTAGATGCTCTGCCAGAGGAGGAGCAATACCCTCCTGTACCAGTCAGATCTGATTTGACAGTACACGCACACAAAATAATAAAAATTAAAAATAAAAAAAAAAATTCCCTTTTTGTTACAGTGACAGCAGATGAGCTGTGGAAAGGTGCCCTAGCTGAAACTGGTGCTGGAGCCAGGAAAGGCAGAGGCAAGAGATCTAAGAAAAAGAGAAGGAAGGATTTGAACAGGGGCCAGATCATCGGTGAAGGTAAGCTTTGTAGTCTTATTACCCACAGCTTGTTAGATAGTTTATGAGTATTAAAACATTTTCCCACAGGGCTTTATGATCTGTGGTTTTGAGTCCAGCTGATGGTTACTCATCCCTTAGGACACTTGTTGTTATGTGCCGTCAAGTCACTTGCGACTCATAGCGACCCTATATACAACAGCCCTAAACTCTGCTCTGTCCTGTGCCAATCGCACCATCTCCGATACACCTGTCCCAATTGACCCAGTCACTAAATCAATCCACCTCATAGAGGGCCTTCCCCTCCTGCGCTGTCCCTCCACCCTATCAAGCATTTTGTCCCTCTCCAAGGACCGGTCCCTCCTTACAACATGTCCAAAGTATGTTAGATGGAGCCTCAGAATCCTTACCTCCAAGGAGCCGCCTGGTTTGACCCTTTCCAGGATGAATCTGTTTGTTTTCCTAGCAGTCCATGGTATTCTCAATACCCTTCTCCAGCACCACAGCTCAAAGGCTCCTTCTATCCTCCTTAGTCATTTTACAGCTCTCTGATGCATAACAAGTGATGGCAAAGAGCATGGCCTATATCAGATGCACCTTAGTCTCCAAAGAGACACCATTGCTCTTCAGTACTTTGGAGAGGTCCCTAACAGCAGACTTTCCCATAGTAATATGTCTTTTAATTTCCTGGCTACTGGTGCCAAGAGTGTTGACTGTGGAGCCAAGCAAACTAAAGCTGTGAACAATCTCAATCTCTTCACCATCCATCCTGATGCTGCCAATTGGCCCAATGGTGAGAATCTTCATCTTCTTGATATTGAGCCTCAATCCATATTGGAGGCTGCAGTCCTTGACCCTCTGCAGCAGCAAGCACTTCAGGTCCTCCTCACTTTCCGCAAGCAGGGTTGTGTCATCTAGAGGAGAAATAGCTCATAGATAAGGATTCCTTCAGCCATCTGCTCAGTTAGTCAGCATTTGGCATCCACAGTGAGTCTTCTGCTGTGATGCCGTTCCTCACTCACGGAGCTCACAGCTCAGCGAGAGAACATGGAGCCAGTGTGATGTCGTCCATCCCTCATGGAGTTCACAGTTCAGCAAGAAAGCATGAAGTCAATGTGATGTAGTTTCTTCCTCACAGATCTTACAGTTCAGCGAGAGAGCATGAAGTCATTGTGATGTCATCCCTTCCTCATGTAGCTTACAGTTCAGGGAGAGAGCATGGAGTCAGTGTGATGTAGTTCCTCCCTCACAGAACTTACAGTTCAGCGAGAGAGCGTGGAGTCGGTGTGATGTCGTCCCTCATGGAGCTTAGAGTTCAGAGAGAGAGCATTGGAGTCAGTGTGACGCAGTGCCTCTCTCATGGAGCTTACAGTTCAGTAAGAAATCATGGAGTCAGTGTGATGTAATTCCTCCCTCATGGAGTTTACAGTTCAGTGAGAGATTATGGAGTTAGTGTGATGCAGTTCCTCCTCACAGAGCTCACAATTCAGAGAGAGAGAATGGAGTCAGTGTGATGCAGTCCCTCCTCATGGAGCTTACAGTTCTGCTGTTGTAATACAAAATCACCCAGAGGTAATACAGACTTGAGTGAACATATGTGCATGTTAGTAAAACTTTTATTTACAAAACACAAGTGGTGGACTTACTTTGGACATGATTGTATTTGTGTGTTTTTTAAAGAGTAACAATAATGGACTTGAATCAGTCTAGTTTTATAAATGGTAGAATGTTTCTCTGTTCTCAGTTAAAAATGTAAACATTATAGAGAAACCTAAAGTCACTCTTGTTGCCCCTTTCTCTCTCCCTGAATCCTGTTTTCACCAAAATCTACTGATCTTACTTTAATGAGTTTGTGCACAGATTTTTTTAGTACTGTTTTTATTAATATTAAATTATTAAAATATTATTAAAGATTAATGGCACAGTATTAATCAAAAGCCTCAGGTCAGTATAATCGTAAGTGCTCATCTAGTTATATAAATCCATAATGTCTGATATTAACAGCTCCATCCATGGCTCAGTTCCCCAATTTCTCTGTGATCTTTTGGGTTTGGTGAAAAGATTTGCTAGAGGATATTACAGAGACTCGGAGCTGTCAGGTGAATGACTCACGTGACTGCAGGTATGCAGGTTGCTTTTTTTCACAGAAATTAGTGAGCAGTGGCCCTGGCTGGATGCAGATTAAACACTCTGGCTCTTCCTGTGTTGGTGTTTTCACACACACAACACCCCCACCCCCGCCTATGGCTTTCTTACATTTATTCTCCAGCTGTGAGTGATCTGCGAGACCATGTGTCTGTAATTACAGTAGTTGGAGACCAGGGGTCCTAAGGTAAAAGCTAAAAAAAGCCAACTTTAGGTTAACACCACAAGTATCTTCATATCCATAAATACCATAGAAGAAATAGGTGTATTCTTCTTAAAAAACAAATTTTATGGTCTATTCTGGATTTTTTTGTACATGCTATTTTAGTTTGTTTTTTCTTAGAACTTGTTCCACATCACTATAAAACTACCTTATTTTTCAGTTAGACTAGAATATTTTATAGGGTGAGTTAAATAAATTTCACTTAACCATTCTGCTATTTCTGGGCATTTTAATTCTGTTTCTTGCCTTTGCAAATTGTGCTTCAGTGGGTATTCTTTTCCAAGTGCACATAAGCCATGTGAATGTTTCTCTAAACACTCAGTTATTCTATGTGAAGTGACATTACTACCTCTTAGGGTATGTCTTTTTAAAATCATAATAGCAAGGGTCAAGTGGGCTGCCAGATGATTGTGTTAGCTCAACAGCATTGTTCTGTGTGTGTGTGTGTGTGTGTGTGTGTGTGTGTATATTTGTATATATATACACGCATGCACATTGCTTGGCATTTAAATGTCCTCACTGATGTTTTGAACCCTTCAGGACGCTCTGGTTTCCTGTGGCCTGGCCTTAATGTCCCTCTAATGAGAAATGGAACGGTGCAGGCCATTGGCCAAAGAAGCAAGGAGGAGCAGGAGAAGGTGGAGGCAGACTTGGTGCAGCAGAGAGAAGAGTGGGAACGGAGGAAGAGAATGAAGGTCAAACGGGAGCGAGGATGGAGTGGAAACACGTGGGGAGGCGTCAGCCTTGGCCCCCCTGACCCTGGTCCCAATGGAGGTAGCCAAGCATTTTGAGAGGGAGTGTGTGCACTTCTCAGCTTCTGGAAATGATTTTATTCTAAAACAAGACCTGAGTGTCTTTGGCGTTCTGTATCACAGTATTATTTAACTCTGTTTTATAGATGACTAGCCAAGAGATATTCTACAAGTAGAATGGGTTCCTGGGGTCTTCACTCTGTGGCTTCTCAGAGCCTATGCCATGGTTACGTGCACAGGGATATCTGAGCTTCCTGGAGGACGTGGTGTTTTCTAGAAAGCTACTGGTCCTGTGAGCACCTATGGAGCAGCGTGGCCAGGCAGTGGTGATGCAGAAGCAGCATGGCAGTAAAACGGATTTATTGTTAAACTGCATCATGCACACATAAAATAGGAATTGATAATATTTTTCAAACCAAATTAAAAGATAGAGCTTTGATGTGTCTCCCTCCCTACAACTGCAGTATATAAAGAAACGAAAAGATCTGTAAAACCCATTTCTTCCAATGGGAGATGTAGAAACAGACATGGATTTGGCTGAAGGAGAGACTGAAGTGAAAACAAACATAGGTCTCTAATGAAGGCCAACACGAGTCCACATAATAACTTGTAAGAAGAAATAGTAGGTAACAGATTCAAGTAAGCTTATGGAAGTTGAAAAGTGGTGGCTGGTGGAAAAAATTGTATCTCTCTGGCAGCTTTAGTTTTTCTCTGAGAAGAAGGATTGAATTGCATATTTCAGAGACATCTGTTGTGAACTGCAGAAATTAGGGTTGGGTGCTAATGAACCCTACCACCAGAGTATTTCCTGGTAGAACAGTGGATTGTATCAGACCAGCTTCAGAATTTCCCAGGGAGGAGGAGCTGGGCAGAGGGTACAGGAAAGAAGATTGCATAGTTGATTGCTGCAGAAACTGGTTGATGAGCACAGAGATTTTGCCTTCTGCTGTTGTCTGTTTTGTACATGGTTGACATTTTCTAGATCTAGAAAAGTTTGGTTTCTTTTTAAAAAAAGAACATGGAAAGTGTTAGAAATAGCTGCTAAGTAGTGTTGAGTGGAGAGACATAACTAAATGAACCTCAAATGGTGACAGGATGCAGAGAGGACTTGTTCATTTAGAGGTCAGGAATTCCCTGTGGCCCAAGTGTTTGCTCCATTTGAGGCATATGGCTGACATAGCAGGGTAAGGTGAGGGCGATGTCTCCACTGGATCTGGTATGCCAGTGCTCATGGAGGTGGGGGGAAAATCCTTTTCTCTACTTACCTGCTGAAAAATTGGTGCCTTTGAGCTGTGGTGTTGGAGGAGAGCACTGAACATCCCATGGACTGTCAAGCACATATGCCCTAGAGAAGATACAGCCAGAGTGCTCCCTAGAGGCAAGGATGGCAAAGTTTCATCTCGTATACTCTGGGCAGATTTCTAGGAGAGGCTTTTTCTTGGAGAGGAAGAATATCATGCTTGGAAAGGTGGAGGAACAACGAAAGAGAGGAAGAATATCATGCTTGGAAAGGTGGAGGAACAACGAAAGAGAGGAAGACCCTTGACATAGTGACTGTAGTGATGGAGTGTGTCAGAAATGGTGAGGATGACACAGAACAGGACAAGGTTTAGGTCTTTTCATAGGGTGGCTCTGAGTCACACTCAACAGTACCTAACACCACCAACAAGTGTGTGCTGTGCTTTGAGTTCTCAGTCAGGCCAGGCATGGTGGACAACTGCATTGATGTAGGCCTGAATGGTGGATGCAGGGAGAAGGCGAGGCAGTTGAGGGTATTTACTGTATCTGGTGGAAAGATGTAAAGACAGCAGGTAGAAGGGGAAGGGGCAAGGCAGGTGGTGCTTGCGGGTCTGATGGTGCTAGGGAGCTCTGGGGCACTTGCTGGGGAACTATCGGGCACATGCTGGCGAGCTCTGGAACATGTACTTAGCTAGCCATTGAGTGGTAGGATGCAATCAGGGACATGAGCGAATGGATGAATTTTGTGATGGGGAGCTCTTTGATGATAGGAACCATAAGAGCTGAGGATCTTTTTTTTTTTTAAATGAATTAATTTTGTTTCTTGAGTCAAAACACTTGTAATATAAGCATGACCATTTTAAGATGTCATTGAGTTGCAATTAATAGAGGCACACTTTTGTGCGACCATTCTCTATCTGAATACAGTCATTTTCATCTACTCTTACTGTTTTTTTAATTTTATACTGGCTTATTTATAAAACTCATATACATTTGTTTTTCACACGATTTTCTCATTTCCTTCATCCCCGCCTCCTTCCACCCATTAAATTGTGCAACCCTATGATTATCGTCTCCCCCCACCCCTGCCCATCCTCACCCCCCTGCTTTAACCCTCCCCTCCCTCGGGTCCTCATACTCATTCTGCAATAATGGCTTTATACAGTATTTGTCCTGTTAGTTCATTTAGCATAATGTTCTCCAGTCCCTCCCAAGTTAGGTAGTAATTTACAAACTCTCTGCTCCTTTGTGCTGTGAAGTGTTCCATCTTGTGAATGTACCATAATTTCTCAATCCATTCCATTGTGATTGGACATTTGGGCTGTTTCCTGAGGATATTTCTTGCTAAAAAGCGATGATCCATGTATTGAAAAATGCTTTCCTACATTAATTGTATAGATTTATCTGTCTGTTTCTTTTTGCCTTACAGAAACATATGAGGATTTTGATACCAGGATACTTGAGGTAGGTGTGCAAATTACATATCTAGTAAGCCTTTGGATGACCTAGGTGGGTGGGACAGGAATGAGGCAGCTGAAATTATAAGAAAAAGACTTTGATGCATGCTATTTTCTGAGACACAGCAGTGTTGGGTAAAGAACTAGAAAACTGGAATCAAAGCCATCATCTTGGAGTAGATTCTGACTCATGCTGACCCTCTACTGGCCGTTAGAGGTTGTGGACTCTCACGGGGAGGGGGGGGGGCGGCGGATGACAGCCTTCTTCCTCCTGTAGAGTCGCGGGTGGATTTGAACCCACTGATCTCTTGGTTAACAACCTAACACATAATGAGCTATACCATCAGGGCCCCTTTTTACTAAACATAGCTATGCAGTCTTGTTAAAGACATTATGCCTGTGACTGACTGTTCTAACCAACTATCACAGAAGAAAACTTATTAGACTGAGGGGCAGAGAAAGAAAAGGAGAGAATGTTGCCTGCCCCTTGGGATTCTACACCCAGGAAGTAGGCCCAAGGAGCTACATCTGTTATCCAAGGAAAGAGCGGCTCAGAGATCAGCAGGGCTGTTGGGAAGACTTCGGGAAGCTGAGGGTGGGGCTGTGGCCTCTGGAGTGACAATGTGCTGTGGCTTCTAGAGTGATGGAGGATGCGCTGTGGCCTTCTCAGCTTGGTCCTGGAGTGTGGGGCTGCCGTATTCAAGGGACAAAAGAATGGTCTGCTGAGGTCTGGGGAGCAGAGTCACCACTTAGATGGACCAAGAGAAGGGGGCCTGTCAAAGCTGAGAGTACAGGTTCTTCCAGGGGCCTGGAAAGCACGAGTGATACCCAGGGCCAAGGGGCCTCTCTGCCCAGAGCCAAGAACAGACAAGTGCCCACGAGTTCAGAGAACAGCTGATTGTTTCTAACCTTGGGCTAGTGAGAGTTGTTCTGCTGGGGTTTGGACTTGTTTGGTGCTGTTACCCTCTTCTTTCCTTCTGATTTTACTTGTAATGGAAGTGTCTGCTTTGCACTTACTCCACATTGTGCTTGGGAAACAGTGATTTCATAGGTTCACAGTTGGGACAGGAATTATCCACAATCTTACCCATGTTTGATCAACAGATTTGGAAGATGACTCACTTTTGTACTTGAAATGGACTTGAGATTTTTGGTATTACGTGATGGGGTGAATGTGATTAGCATGTGGGAAGGACATGATTTTGAGAGATCTGATAGAATGTTCGGATTGAATTGTGTCTCAGAAACATGTGAACCCTATCTTTATAGTTTTAATCCCATTTGGGAAATGATTGTTTTTATGGGCCATGAGGCAAGATTAGTGGAGGCTGGTTCTCAAACTCTTTAGAGATATGAAGAGATTAAATAAGCAAGTCAATGAGGTGGAGATGAGGGAAGAAAGATGCAAAAGTACGTAGCACAGGAGCAGAAGCTAAAAGGAAAAAGCCTTGCTTAGAGCCAGCTCCCTGTATTCAGACCTAGAATTTCCTGAGAACATTCATTGCTGTTTCTTAGTGCCACCTAATGACGATGTTTGTTATTGCATCACCAGCAGGATTCCTCTGCAATAGGAGTGCTGGTTTGAAAACAGCCACCAGCAAACCAGCTATTTGAGTTAAGCTTCACATATACTCACATGAAACATAAATTGATAGTCCTTTTGAAGTCAGGTGAGAAGTGGGGAAAGGTTACACGGGAGTAGAATGGAGTTGGAAGTGCCTGGTTTCAGGGTTGCTGCCTAACTCCTATCACAGTGGAGGTAGCAGAGGTCTTGTTGCTGGGTGACAGCTTTCTTGTGGTACATTCATGTGGCTGTTTTGTGTCTTATGTGGTGCTGTTGAGTTCTGACTCAGTGGCCTAGTCCATGGGCCTAGCCTCTACTGAGTTCTGTAGTTTAAAATTAGTGTAAAGATTAACTCAGTCGAACATTATGACAGCCATGAGAGAGTGCAAAAGGAAGCCTTGTTTTCACTTCTGAAGAAACAGGTCCCAGCAGAGTTTCTTCTGGAGAAGGCCCTTCAGGGTTTGTGCTCATGGAGCGGGGGAAGGTAGCTCTGTCTACATTGTGCTGGCGCGTATGTGTGTTGGATTATTCTACTTGTCCATTCCCTGTTTTTCCTTGAGGTATAATTATGAAGCTTTTTGTTTTTTAGGTAAGAAACGTATTCAACATGACAGCAAAAGAGGGACGAAAGAAGTCTGTTCGAGCCTTGGTAGCTGTGGGGAATGGAAAAGGCGCTGCAGGTGAATGGGGGTGGAGGGAAAATGCAGGTGGTCTAGGTGCGAGGCCGTGGGACCTGGGCTTGTGCAGCTGTGATCCTGTGTTGATGTTGGCCACAGTCTCCTGTTAAATCTTTCATAAGACCTATTGAAATTTCTTGGAGAGAAAGGAAAAATAAGTCTTCTATATTTGTTTTTTCTCATGAAGGACTTCTATTTAAAAGGCTTAAACCATCTTATTATGCATTATAGTGAAAAATTAGAGCAGAAAATATGAAGGTTGATAATAGAGCCATGTTGTTGTTTGTTGTTAATGTGCAGTCGAGTCGCTTGCGACTCATAGCGAACATATGTACAACAGCTCTAAACTCTGCTCTGTCCTGTGCCAGTTGTACTGTCTCTGACACTCCCATCTCGATTATCCCAGTCACTGAATCAATCCACCTCATAGAGGGCCTTCCCCTCCTGCGCTGTCCCTTCACTCTACCAAGCATGATGTCCTTCTCCAAGGACCAGTCTCTCCTCACATGTCCAAAGTATGTTAGATGGAGCCTCAGAATCCTTGCCTCTAAGAAGCCACCCGGTTTAACCCTTTCCAGGATGAATCTGTTTGTTTTCCTAGCAGTCCATGGTATTCTCAATACTCTTCTCCAGCACCACAGCTCAAAGGCATCAATTCTCCTTCTGTCCTCCTTGGTCATTGTCCAACTCTCTGATGCATAACAAGTGATTGCAAAGACCATGGCCTGTATCAAACACACCTTAGTCTCCAGAGAGACACCACTGCTCTTAAGAACTTTGGAGAGGTCCCTAACAGCAGACTTTCCCATGGCAATGCACCTTTTAATTTCCTGGCTACGGTGCCAAGAGTGTTGACTGTGGAGGCAAGCAAACTAAAGCTGTGTACAATCTCAATCTCTTCACCATCCATCCTGATGCTGCCAATTGGGCCAGGGGTGAGAATCTTTGTCTTCTTGGCATTGAGCCTCAATCCATATTGGAGGCTGCAGTCCTTGACCCTCTGCAGCAGGTCCTCTTCAGTTTTAGCAAGCAGGGTTGTGTTATCTGCATAATGCAGATTGTTGATAAATCGTCCACCAATCTTGACCCCACATTTCTCCTCATAGAGCCCAGCCTCCCTGATAATCTGTTCTGCATATAGGTTGAAAAGGTACGGAGATAGGATGCATCCTGGCGTACGCCCTTCCCAATTTTGAACCATGCAGTGTTCCTTTGCTCTGTTCTGACAAATAGAGCGATAGTTATATAAATAATATGGCTATGTATTGTATTATTTTGTAGCCATTAAAGGATATTTTTAAAAAAATATTTAAAGTGTAGTATTTGTTACATAAATTAATTCACAACCTAATGAAATTGTACAGAACATCAATGTACAAACTGAAAGCAATTACAATTGGGTATTTAAATAATTCCCTTAAAATTTTTTTTAGGCAAATAAAAATTAATTCACAGATGGATACCTAAGGTTAACTAACATTAGATTGAATCAAAGTTTAAGCTGAAAAATTTATATTTCGTTGCAGAGGTGTGTGGAATTTATCTTTAGCAATTTTTTACTGATGGTAAACCAAAAGCAGTAGCTGACATCTTTACAACAGTAGTTTAACACATATTTTCTTGGTTTTAAGGTCCCCCCCCCCCATATATGCATAGCAATGAAGTAAGGATAAGAACAGTCTTCTGTGTTATCTCTTATAGTTCATAAGGCCTTTGTTAGTCACCTTCGATGTGATTTTCAGCAGAGCCATTATTAAAATAAAGCTGGCCTAAGATTTTTTCAAAGTGCTACTGGTTCCAGCTGATGAGAAGGTCAGTTTTCTGGATGATGATTATTTTCAGTTCTTTTTTCTGGTGATACATATAGGAAGTTGCAGCAGATATATAAAGGGAACACCAGAAGCCTGCTGTACAAGTTCATCACCACTTGTTCCTGATCCTTTTCAAGTGTTAGTATTTGATAACCAGTTGTTCTACTACATATTAATTTTCCACTATTATCAATAGGCCAAACGTAATCTAAATGCTATGCTTCTTTGAGCCTGTAAACTAATAGATCATAGTTGATTCAGTGTACTGCGTTTGAAAATGAGGTACCGATTGTTAAAAGTTACAAACAGGTCAAAGCTGAAATTAAAACCTGTCCGCCACCAGCAGTATTCAGTGTCTTTGGCAAGCTTTTTTCCACATCTCATGCTATGTCCTTCTAGTTCTTCTTTATTGATTTCTTGAGGCCCCACCTTAATGTCTTGCTCTGCTTGGAGCATAGCAAGCCATTGTTGTTTACGTACAGAAGACAGCCATTCTCAAGTTACTAGAGAATCTTACTCAATAATTCTTACAGAAGCCAGATCACTAATAATATACTCTAACCTTAAACATTTGAATACTGACACAAATGGTTTCCCATACGCAGTTTCAAGGAAGGCCAAACCTTCAAAATCTTTTCTTTGCTTAGAAAGCCAGGCATCTGTTTCAGTCAAAAGTTGTTTTAAAGATCCACTCCAAGAAGGCACAGTTTGAAGAAACATCCTCTTTTTAAGAGCTGTGTAAACATCCATTTCCACTTGCATCACAAATAGGTTAGAAGAACCAGTGAGCTTTCTCATGACGTTTATACTGAGTTCTTTAAAAAGTTCAACATTCTGGTGTGTCATCAAGTTGTTTAGAAGCCAGTTAAGACACTTTACAAAATCTGATCCGTAGGTCCCTGCTGATGTGTAATAGCCACATAACTGTTTTCACATTAATTGTTTCCTTCATTGTCTCATCACATTGCTGTATTAAACCATCCTGCAAACATAAATAAGCACTGGAAAGGCCCATTTCACATGGGAAAAATTAGCTGAGAATGTGCAGCTGTAGCATACAAGCTGCCACCAAAATGGCAATAACTTGACTGGGCTTTATTAAGACATCATCTCCATACAGAGAACCAAATGCAACCTACATTGCTTCTATATCAATATTCTGGTTGGAAATCTCCAATAATACTCATGTTGGCTTCTTTCCAAGAACCACTGAACATACTAGAAAAGTAGCCAGATTGATGTAAATAAATTTTGTGTAAGCTCCGATCTTCTCCCAGAGCACAAATTTTAATGTTACTATTTTTACCATTCACAAACAATGCCTGACAAATGTATTTGGATGTACTCTTTAATTTTTTCCTATGCGGGGTTTTGAGGAGCTGTTGTTGCTCGTCCCCTTCCTCCTCATACTCATCTGTTTTGTTTTAAGTAGCAGAAGGCCCCACTGCTCTGTTTGCGCTTGAGTCTGCCTGGGCAGTAACAAGCTGTGGCTCTTTGCGCCTGCGCCAGTCCTGGGCTCAGGTTTCTCCCCGGTGGTGCTACACTCACCTGCTCAGAGAGCCCATGGGCAGAGACTCCCCAGGAATTCAGGAAGCACACCTCATGAAATCTAGTGGAGAGGGTCTGCCATCATCGTCTGGCGACCCTCTGCCTCCAGCTCGGGTGCTAACACAGCCACCTCAACACACAGTCCCAACCGTTGCAGCAAACAATACTGCTTCCATCCTCATCCCCATTAAAAGATATTTAAAGACAGAAATTAAGTGGGTTGGGGCAGTGTGAGGACACAAAACTTGACCTGAAACAGTATAATTCCACTTTTTTCCATTAAAAATATGTTCACAAGCAAAGAAATGACCTTAAGAGATTATACAGGAAGGTTAATTGTGTTTATTTGTTGCCCAATTTTGTCAGCAACGTGGATTTTTGTTTTGTGCTGTTCTGTACAATTTCCATAGTAAACATTTATTTTCGAAACTTATATATGAAGATGTCAAGAAGACAAGATTCTCACCACTGAACCAATTGGCAGCATCAGGATGGATGGTGAAGAGATTGAGATTATTCACAGCTTTAGTTTGCTTGGCTCCGTGCTCAACACTCTTGGCACCAGTAGCCAGAAAATTAAAAGACATATTGCGATGGGAAAGTCTGCTGTTAGGGACCTCTCCAAAGTACTGAAGAGCAATGGTGTCTCTCTAGAGACTAAGGTGCGCCTGATACAGGCCATGGTCTTTGCTATCACTTGTTACACATCAGAGAGTTGGACAATGACTAAGGAGGATAGAAGGAGAATTGATGCCTTTGAGCTGCGGTGCTGGAGAACAGTATTGAGAATACCATGGACTGCTAGGTAAACAAACAGATTCGTCCTGGAAAGGGTTAAAGCTGGCTGCTCCTTGGAGGCAAGGATTCTGAGACTCCTTCTAACGTAATTTGGACATGTTGTGAGGAGAGACCAGTCCTTGGAGAGGGACATCATGCTTGGGAGGGTGGAAGGTAGGTGCAGGAGGAGAAGGCCCTCTGTGAGGTGGATTGATTTAATGACTGGGGCAATTGGGATGGGACTATCGGAGACAGTGCAATTGGCACAGGACAGAGCAGAGTTTAGGGCTGTTGTACATAGGGTCGCTATGAGTCCCAAGCGACTCGTCGGCACACAACAACAACAACAGCAACAGCATATATAAAGATATGAATGAAGATAAAGGAAAATGTAACAGGTAAACTTTGTATGTGATCTGTAGTGACACTTTTAAAATATGAAAGTAATACTTCGACTTCATACTCAACTCCTTGCACTCAAAATGGAACTGACTCATAGCTGACCCTCCAGTGGTTTTTCAGAGACTGTAAATTGTATAAGAGGAGATTGCCCATCTTTATCCTCAGGAGCAATTGGTGGATTTGAACCACCTGCCTTTGAGTTGACAGTGTGACTCCTTACCCACTAGACCACCAGAGCTCTCTACATTGAAAAGCCTCCTCTTTCTCTGTTGCCAAAGAAAACCAATCTTAACTATCCCTTCTGTATTGCCAAAATACTGTGTTATTATACCTCTGTATATCACTGTACATCTTTTTAGGAGCTCTGGTGGCTTAGTGCTAAGGAATAGTGCTGCCAATGCAAAGATAAACAGTTTGAATCCACCAGCAGTTTTATTGGAGAAAGAGGGGCAATCTCCTCCCGTACAACTGACTACCTCTGAAAACAGGCCAGCATGGATTATTTTTTTCAGCAGCTTATATCTTTAAAAATATTTTATGCAAGGGAGATTATATTCTCATTTTTGCCCTTTGCTTTTCTTAATATTTTACTCAGCATTCTTCCTATATTAATAAATTCCCTCTTATTCTTTGTATACTTACCCAGTGTTGCATATATAGATAAACATAGTTTTACAGCCTTTTCCCTATTATTGAGTATTGTTGCTTCCAGTTTCCTACCATTATAATTAGTAGTGAGCTTCTTACATGTGCAATTTGTATTATTTCACAAGTATATTGCTAGGGAAAATAACCTTGCAGTGAAATTGCCTTTTAAAGGTTGAGAAGTAGGGCCAGATTGCTTTCTGGCAAGATTGCATCAGTTTGAGTTTACGCCGTCACCCTTCCCAGCACTGTTGTTATGTGCCGTTGAGTTGAAAGGACTCATAGCTAAGCCTCCAGCAAGTTTTCAGAGGCAGTAAATATCACCTGAGGAAACTGCTCATCTTTCTTCCACTGGTGGATTTGAACCGCATGCCTCTATATTGGCAGCACAGCTCCTTACCACAGAGCCACCTGAGCTCCCTTCCTCAGCACTGGATAGTAAAACTTTGCTCTTTTTCAGTATGTTATTGGAAAAATCTCACTCAGTTTGAGCTTGCATGCCTGTTACCAGCCATTGTGTTTTTCTTTTTGAGATTAGTCAGTTCATGTGTTCTGTACATTTTTCAAATTTATTAGCATAATTTCTTTGTAAGAAACATGAACCTTTAGCCATACTTTGTTTAATGGTTAAGTGATCAGCTGCTAACTAAAAGGTTGGTCACTTGATCCTAGCCAGTGACTCTAGGAAAAATTTAGACGGATCTGCTTCTGTGATGATTTCAGCACAGGACCCTATTAGGCAGGCCTGTTATATGCCATGGGGTTACTTTGAGTCAGGATCAGCTGGATGTCACCCTAACATTAACAACATAAGTTATCATTACAGTTATCATTACTAGTTTTGTCTTACTTAGCCTTTATATGTTTTCCCATATTTTCCATTACCACTTAATATAGATAATTTGCTGTTTAAGACTTGAAATCCATCGTCTCTTTGTCTCAGGATGTTGTATATCTCATTACGCAGTATTGTGTTGTATTATTTTCCCCTGTATAATTTAAGAACCTTACACATTCTTCAAAATAAGTATAAATTGTGGCAAAAAATGATAGATATATTTGTAATTTATGATAAATCTCATTTCATAAAGTAAACATTTATAAGAAGAAATTTATTTGTAGTAAAATTCTGTGTGTGTATGTGTGTAATTTTTTTAAGTAGAATGTAAAATTCATTTGGCAGTTCCAGAACGAGATTACAATTTTATTTTAGCCATGTGCATTTTCTCCACCCTTTCTGGTTATTTTCAAGAGTATCCAAAACTATTTGCCTTATTAATTTAGAGCATCTTTAATTTTTTAAATTGAATATATTTAGTTTTATCTGGAGAGCCATAAAAAAATAATGCTATGCATCTTATCTTGGATTTCATGAATTTACCCAAATGTAGTATTTTCAAAGGCCTCAGAATAAATCTGTTTTATGCTTTGACATAAGTTTTAGGTAGTAGGCTTTCTATGTGCTAGGGAAAAGGGAGATGATGTAGAAAAATAATCTACTATGAAATCTGTCAGGAGCTGACACTAAGGATGGTGGTGAAGGGTGTATGACATGCCACATTTGTGTTCTTTTTCATAATTACAATTTTTTCTTTGAAAGGTTTTGCCATTGGGAAAGCTGCTGACCGGATGGACGCTTTCAGAAAAGTATGTGCATTTTTTCCTTTGACATTCATTAACAGATCAGTGAGACATGAACTGCCCCCTCCCCCAGAGCAACAAAGAATGTGATAATTGACTCCACTACCTCCCGACTAAGCTTCCTGCCAAAGATTACTTTTAAAGAGCAGTTTCATCAAATAGAAAAAAAAAACAACAATCTAATCCTATAGCCTCTAGAAGAAAATAAATTGTTATTTTTAATCACACTTGATTGATCACTAATCATTATGAGACAACTGAGGAAGTGTGAACACTGATTGAATATGTGGTGGTGCTGGGGATTGTTGTTGTTCTGTGCCATGGAGTCGCCTGCGACTCATAGGGACCCTATGTACAACAGCCCTGAAATCTGCTCTGTCCTGTACCACTCGCACTGCCTCTGACATACACATCCCGATTACCACAGTCACTGAATCAATCCACCTCATAGAGGGTCTTCCCCTCTTGCACCGTCCTTCCACCCTCCCAAGCATGATGTCCCTCTCCAAGGACCTGTCCTTCCTTACGACATGTCCAAGGTATGTCAGACGAAGCCCCAGAATCCTTGCCTCCAAGGAGCAGCCTGGTTTAACCCTCTCCAGGATGAATCTCTTGGGGATTATTGTTTGTTATTTCAGGTTGATAATGGCTTTTTAAGTCTTTACCTTTTCTAAAGGAGCCTGGATGGTATAAGAGTGACATGTTTCACGGCTAAATGACAGATCAGGAGTTTGCGTCCCTTCCGCTGTCTGTGGGGGAGTAGAGGGCATCTACTCAGCCTCATCTCTGGGGGAGAGAAGGGAGTGTCCATGCAGCCTCAAGATACCTACTCCGCTTAAGCCCACTGTTGCAGCCATTGTATTGATTTTTCTCAAGAGTCTTCCTCTTCTTCACTGTCTGTTTTACCAAGCATGACATCCCTCTGGGACTAGTCCCGCCAGATAATATGTCTAAAGGAAGTGGGACAAAATCTAAGTGTCCTTGCTTCTAAGGAGTATCTGACTGCACCTCCTCTAAGGAAGACTTGTTTGTTATTTTGGCAGTTCATTGTAAAGCCTTTATTCTTTTCTAAGACCACAAATCAACATCAGTTATTCTTTGGTCTGTCTTATTTATTGTCAGACTTAAAACATGCATGTGAAGTAGTTGAAAATCCTTTTGCATGGTTAGGTCAACCTTAGACTGTAAAGTGACATCCTTGCTCTTTAGCACTGTAGAGTTGTCCAGGCAGCAGTTTTCCTCATTGCAATAGATCGTTTGCTTTTTGGACCACCTACTGTTCTCATGGGTTGATTTTTTTTCATAGTAAACTGCTTTATTTTCCACTGGAAGTGAATTTATAAACTAATACTGAAATTCTGAGAAAATGTTAATTTTAGCAGTAGTTTATGAAGAATCTTTTCTTTCTTTCTACCAGGCCAAGAACAGAGCAGTTCACTATTTGCATTATATTGAACGCTATGAGGACCACACGAGTAAGTGTTGGGCCTGTCCGTCTGTCTGTTAAGGTGGTGGAAGACACCCTCTCGTGTCTGGCAGGTTACCTCTGTGGTATCTTTGCATGTCTGCTTGGTATTGTGTTCTTACCAATAAATATGTAAAATGTAGAAATGATATTTCTCTTCTGAAAAGGTTAGTGAGATAAGTAGCATGAAAGTTGACTATGGGGCCACTGTGTGCTGGCTGAGGAGGACTGTGCTATTTGCTTTATGATGCTTGCAGGGACATTAAAGCTTCATTCCTAACTTACGTTTCTCTGTTTGTGTCCTCACCTTCCAGTTTTCCATGACATTTCCTTAACGTTTAAAAGAACGCATATCAAGATGAAGAAACAACCCAGAGGTAACTAAGTAGAGAGTTTGTTGAAGCGAAAGCAAAGGGATTGCTAACAGTGCCATCCTATAGGCTGTTTGACTCACCTTTACTTGTACTCATTTTGAAAACTCCAAAGTGTTAGTTTTAAGAAGTTAGACTTAAGAATGAAGAGGCTGTCGGGAAAAGGAAAAAAATTAAGAAGTCAATAAAGGCTTCTGTGGGACTGGAACCCAGCTGAGTGCACAGATGGCTTGCCTGAATGGGACACTGACTCCTCCTGGAGAAGGCCTTGGTGCTGGGTGAGTGAGTCTTGCTGGTCGCTGCTAGGCCTTTGCTCTTCAGCATCAGGTATTTGCTGAGCATTTTTTGTGAGCTGGTGTGTGTGTGTGTGTGTGTGTGTGTGTCTGTGTGTCTGTGTGTGTGTTTATGTAGCTGTGTGTGGAGGAGCGGACAGAGTTCAGGACATGGCCTGTGGCCTTCCTCTGCAGGTGACTCAAGAGAACACTCTAGATTGAGAGGCCATTGGGCAATGTGAGGATTTGGAGAAAAAACTTGGCAAAGGATGTGTTACCAAAGTGGAAAGAGGAGTTTTTCCATCAGGAGGAAGTAGACAGGACCTGAAAGCAAGAGACAGTAGTCCCTCAGCCCTTGGTTAATGAGTGGGGGTGTTAGAGGACTTTACTTGCTTACACCAGTGATAGTTTTTTGCCCACTGTATTCAAGAAATTATCTGTGTCACCTTACTCGGATACAGTGATAGATATCAGTAAGTGAGGACAGGTCCCCCTTCCAGTGGTGAAGCCAGGATGGGAACGAGCTTCTAACCCTGTTGTACCCTGCTTCACCATCAATGCACTGGGGAAGCCAGCAGGTCCCTGAATCCTGAGATGTGGGCAGATGCGATGGGCTTTGAATCGCTTTTCCCCTTTTCCCAGGTTATGGCCTCCACTGCCACCGGGCCATCATTACCATGTGCCGACTCATTGGCATCAAAGACATGTACGCCAAGGTGTCTGGGTCCGTCAATATGCTCAATCTCACCCGGGGCTTCTTCCATGGACTCTCCCACCAGGTAACCTCTCTGTGGTCTGGGCAGCTCTGCTTGTGATGAGACCATGCTGTCACGGGGCCTCCTACACATTCTCTGCTGGGCCACCTGAGGACTTGACTCGGTTTTCTTTCTCTCTTTGCTTTCTGTGGCTGCATCATGTTAGTCACTGCAAGTGAGGAGTTCATTCATGAAAATTCAGTTTCTTGGATTTTTGAAGTTTCAAAATGAGACATTTTAAAAAAATATGTTGTTTTTTCATTCATATACTGTTGCACATTTTCTTCCCCCCTCCTCCCATCCCCCTCATCCATCCCACTCCACGGTGTACCTTTTGTTCCAGATTGTTGTCATACATATGATGCCTAATCATAAATTCTTTTTGAAGTGTTCTTCCCTCATCTGTTCCAGTACAGTCTTCATTATCTATCCACTCTATTCCCATTCTCCCTCCAATTCCCTATCTCATTCCTATTTTATAACAGCTGTGTTATACAGTATTTGTTCTTTTGTGACTGAGATATCTCACTCATCATAGTGTCCTCCAGGGTCAACCATGTTGTGCATACTCCATTGTTGAATGTACCTTAGTTTTTAATCCATTTGTTTGTTGATGGCCATTTGGGTTGCTTCCATCTCTTTGCTATTGTGAATAATGCAGCAGTAAACATGGCTGTGCATATATTTGTTTGATTGGTGTCTCTGGTTTCTTTAGGGTATATTTCCAGTAGTGGAATTGCTGGGTCTCCTGGTATTTCTGTTTCCAACTTTTTGAGAAAGTGCCATACCGCTTTCCATAGTGGTTGCACCATTTTGCACTCCCACCAGCAGTGAATAAGGGTTCCAATCTCCCTACAACTTCGCCAGTATTTTCTGTTTGCTGTCCTGTTGAACTTTGCTGTTGTTACTGGGGTGAGTGGTGAAGTGTCTGTTCATATCCTGTGTCCATTTTGTGATTGGGTTGTATACCTTTTTCTTCTTAAGGTGTTAGAATATTCTATAAATTTTTGATAAAAGTCCCTTATCAGACATGCCAAGGCTAAATGTAAACCTTTTCCCAGTCTGTGGGTTTCTTTTTTTTTACCACGTTGGAGATATTTTTTTGATGTGCATAGGGATTTAAATCTTAGAATTTCCCATTCATCTATTATATTCTCTTCTGGTTGTAGGGTTTGTTTTTTTTTTTAATTATGTTTGGAAGTCTGTTCATGATGTGGATAAGGCTTCTAGAGTTGTTCATAGCTTTTCTCTGATAAATTTTACAGTCTTTGGTTGGTCCCTGATGGACCTTGAGTTGGTTTTTGTGTATGGTGTGAGCTGTGGGTCTTGCTTTAGTTTTCTGCAGATGGTTTTCCAATTTTGCCAACACCATTTGCTAAAAGGCTGCCATTTTTCCACCTAACTGATTTTATCAAAATGAGACTTTTTTTTAAAAGCATCTGCTTTATTTATAGTCCATTTTTTACATCCATATAAAACAATTGACAATATCCTAACTTGTATCAGACACACCTCAGTCTTCAAGCTGACATCCTTGCTAGTTAGCACTTAAAGAAGTCCTTAGCAGCAACTTAGAAGTCTGACTTCAGGATTTGAACACTCTCAACTCTGAGAGAAGGTCCTTCACTCTTCAATTTTTCCCATGGAAGAAGATGGCTTCTCTTTCCCTTGCTGAGCAGCTGGTGTATTTGAACCAAGTTTCTTTGAGTTGCCAGTGCAGTTCCTTACCTCTAGGCCACCTGAGGCCCCTGACTGTAGTTGCAGCTTTCATCATTTCTTGGCAGTTCTTATACGACATGTGTTTTCCTCCCATTTGCTACTTGCTTTTCTTTGTTTCTCCTTATATCCAAGTGATTAGCTTTAGAACATACTGTACATTTTAATGGCCTTGTTAGTATAAATGAGAAAATCCTATGCCCAGACAGGATTTCCCAGACAGACGTTTAGGGGTTAAGATTCTCATACATATTTTGGGTAGATAATTCAATCCATAACAGGGAAGACTACTTCTCCTTTGTTAGTTCTGTAAGCATGAATTTTATCTCCCACCTGGATAATACAGCACTGTTTCTACAGAAATTATCAGTTCCATGGGGCCCCAAACTATGTCTTTTATTCACATTTTAGTACCACAACATTTAGAATTTTCTAAAGTAAGTAAGTAAGTAAGGCAACCTGGGTGTCACCAAAATGAGACATTTTAAAAAGCCAGTTAATTACAACCTATGTTTTGTTATAGAAAAATATGTGATTGTTCTCAGGCTCCAACAGTATTGAAATATAAAGTTAAAAGGGAAGTGCAAGTTTTCTTCTCCTATTTAGTCCTGAGAGTCAGGAGAGGGTAGGAGAGGCACCTGGGGGACTCCCACCTGAGGACGTCATCTTCAGTCAGCACTGTCTGTCATCACCTAGGGATGTAGAAGTGCTGGGTGACACCTGTGCTAGTGGGGAGACACAAGCATTAATATGTCATGTTATTTTCACTGGTCATCTGCCCAGTCTGCATCTTTGCTGTCCTGAAGGTAAGCTGTGATTGCTAGGGAGTGAAAATTTACATATATTGGTTTTTCTTTCTTTTTTTTATTTTTATTAAATTTTATTAGTTTTAATGAACATTTACAGAGATTTTGGGTTTTTCT